GCATTGAAACGAGACGAGTCATTGGATAAATGCTGGTTTTGTCCCGCCCATCGGACTCTCAGCGTCTCTGGGAGTCGATGGACAGTGGGCGTTTATGGGCTGGTCCGGACGCTCAGCTTTTCTGCATGATGATTGGATGATCTGTCTGAGGCTGAATCTCTTTTTGATTGACAGCGAAATGAGCCAATCACCGATCTTATGGTGAAGGCATCCTTTTCATTTTTTTGAAAAGGAACAGAGAGTAGAATTCACGTATAATTAAACGGACACATTTTATGATGTAGGCCGAAATTGAGCTTCCCCTCCTTGACAGACCAGCACCCGCCACTGATACAATGAAACCAAAGACCAAAAATTTGCAAAGGTAAATTTGGCAAGCTGTACAGAGACGAGGTGCGGAGACTGTTCATGTTGGTCAGTCCCTTAGCCAATCAGGTTGCAGAACACAATTCACTGTTTAAAAAAAAGCATTAAAAAAAACTGCACTAAAAAAAATCCGTGAAACAGCGAAACCGCGGAAGGTGAACCGCGTTATAGCGAGGGATTACTGTACACAGAACGAGGCATCAGCCGATTACCAATTTGACCGTTTACTGTCTTTTTAAAAAGTCACGGTTTCAATTACCGCTAAAAGTGTCTGTCACCGCTAATATGATAAGCTTCTCTTTTCTTTTTTGAGGGGACTTGTAAGCAGTTGAAATGTAATTGGTTGCTTGCATCGATCACTTAGGAAGTCTATGCTTTGATGTTAATGTTGAAAGGTCAGACACGTTTTTTTGCTCCTTCTTACTTGAGCAGAGAGCGGAGGGGTAATCAGTTGCAGGGAGAGCAAGGATGCAGGAAGACGACAGAGAGCAACTGGGCTGACGGCGTACTTGCATAGATGCCTTTTTACTATACGTCAGGAGAACATTTTACTAAATAAAACATGAAGTCATAACCAAATTAAATAGAATGTAGAGATTTCAATAGTTTGTGTGTAATTACTAACATATTGCGGCTCCTTCTGGCGTGTGCGGCTTGTCCACCCTGGGTATTATAAATTCAGGCATGCAGAAACATCTGAATCAGAGCTTCACTATGACTGTAAGCGACTCTGCAGTAATACTAATATTACCCCTTTCTCACAGGAGGCAAGTAATATATTCCTGTGAGTATCGTTGTATTGTCTGTCTACACGTCATCAAAACATGCAATATGATGTTTCAGCTTTAAGAGGTGCTAGTCCTTGGACAGCCTCTCGTGCGCAAGGGGAAAGGTGCTGAAGTTTCATGGAGAATATGCACAAAGTGCGTAACTGGCACAAATAAGTCAACGGGAGAATCTGTACTCAATCAGTGTTGACCCAAAACCTCCAGGCTTCAACGAGAACAAGGGGCCGGGAACCTATGGCTCGCGAGCTCTTTTGATGGTTGCATCTGGCTCACAGATAAAACAAAATATTCTCGCTTGTTTAATCCATCCATCAAGGTAAAGAAATGTCAGGAAAAGCTTACTAGAACAGCTGAATTTGAGGTTAACCATAAGCACTCCCAATAGACACGGTTTGAATGGAACTGGTTCATTCAAAAAACATGGTGTGCAACCACATTGTCACGGTTGTTTTTTGGTTTTGTTTTTTTTTTTTTTTTTTTCATTTTTTTGAAAAGGAACAGAGAGTAGAATTCACGTATAATTAAACGGACACATTTTATGATGTAGGCCGAAATTGAGCTTCCCCTCCTTGACAGACCAGCACCCGCCACTGATACAATGAAACCAAAGACCAAAAATTTGCAAAGGTAAATTTGGCAAGCTGTACAGAGACGAGGTGCGGAGACTGTTCATGTTGGTCAGTCCCTTAGCCAATCAGGTTGCAGAACACAATTCACTGTTTAAAAAAAAGCATTAAAAAAAACTGCACTAAAAAAAATCCGTGAAACAGCGAAACCGCGGAAGGTGAACCGCGTTATAGCGAGGGATTACTGTACACAGAACGAGGCATCAGCCGATTACCAATTTGACCGTTTACTGTCTTTTTAAAAAGTCACGGTTTCAATTACCGCTAAAAGTGTCTGTCACCGCTAATATGATAAGCTTCTCTTTTCTTTTTTGAGGGGACTTGTAAGCAGTTGAAATGTAATTGGTTGCTTGCATCGATCACTTAGGAAGTCTATGCTTTGATGTTAATGTTGAAAGGTCAGACACGTTTTTTTGCTCCTTCTTACTTGAGCAGAGAGCGGAGGGGTAATCAGTTGCAGGGAGAGCAAGGATGCAGGAAGACGACAGAGAGCAACTGGGCTGACGGCGTACTTGTATAGATGCCTTTTTACTATACGTCAGGAGAACATTTTACTAAATAAAACATGAAGTCATAACCAAATTAAATAGAATGTAGAGATTTCAATAGTTTGTGTGTAATTACTAACATATTGCGGCTCCTTCTGGCGTGTGCGGCTTGTCCACCCTGGGTATTATAAATTCAGGCATGCAGAAACATCTGAATCAGAGCTTCACTATGACTGTAAGCGACTCTGCAGTAATACTAATATTACCCCTTTCTCACAGGAGGCAAGTAATATATTCCTGTGAGTATCGTTGTATTGTCTGTCTACACGTCATCAAAACATGCAATATGATGTTTCAGCTTTAAGAGGTGCTAGTCCTTGGACAGCCTCTCGTGCGCAAGGGGAAAGGTGCTGAAGTTTCATGGAGAATATGCACAAAGTGCGTAACTGGCACAAATAAGTCAACGGGAGAATCTGTACTCAATCAGTGTTGACCCAAAACCTCCAGGCTTCAACGAGAACAAGGGGCCGGGAACCTATGGCTCGCGAGCTCTTTTGATGGTTGCATCTGGCTCACAGATAAAACAAAATATTCTCGCTTGTTTAATCCATCCATCAAGGTAAAGAAATGTCAGGAAAAGCTTACTAGAACAGCTGAATTTGAGGTTAACCATAAGCACTCCCAATAGACACGGTTTGAATGGAACTGGTTCATTCAAAAAACATGGTGTGCAACCACATTGTCACGGTTGTTTTTTGGTTTTGTTTTTTTTTTTTTTTTACTTCCCCTCTCACAAAGATTTGTCTTTTGTAGTAGTACAGGCTAAAGAAAGAAAAAGAAGACAGACATTTTATTTCAGGCTTCGCACACATACAAATGTGTCCAGGGTAAAAATGAAAGGGCAGACAGAAAGTAAGCTTATGAAATGAAGCCCTCCAACAATACCACCGTGGTATCTCGGTAAAATAAGCAATTGTACTTATTTTTTTTTTTTTTTACTTCCCCTCTCACAAAGATTTGTCTTTTGTAGTAGTACAGGCTAAAGAAAGAAAAAGAAGACAGACATTTTATTTCAGGCTTCGCACACATACAAATGTGTCCAGGGTAAAAATGAAAGGGCAGACAGAAAGTAAGCTTATGAAATGAAGCCCTCCAACAATACCACCGTGGTATCTCGGTAAAATAAGCAATTGTACTTATTTATAACTAAATCAGTAACTAATCACTTGGATTTTTAGCGAGCGTGATACAATACTTGAATAGAATTCAGAAATGGGGACTTCTTAGCGCGGGGGCAATTAAAAAATGAGTGTGACTTACGTAGTATTTTGACAATTCAATGTTACTTCCAGTGAGTGGCTTGAGTAATTCTGAAACTTCTCTCCTTTTTATATCACGCAAAGGTGGCACTGGACGTTGTATATCCACTGTACAGCACTTAATGTACAGTATCTCAGAATGCTGCCGCAATGCCAGGAATTTCCATCACAACGTTGCCATTGTTTCATGTTGTGATTACTCACTCGCTCGCTCTCTCATTCAGCAACCGAAGCATCAGCCTCCTCACCGCTGCATTCTTGGAGGCATTTGATTTCGGTACTTGAATGACCAGTGAGGTGTTACAGCCTCCAAAGCAGAAATGAAACATACAGTATGGCTTCAAGGTCAACGTGCATCGGCCTCCCAGTGAAGGCCAAGGTCAGAGCGGAACACAACCAATGGATGACAATTGACGAAATTCAAGTGAAGGAATTTCGATTTGCATTATTGGTGCCATATTAAAGTGAACATTTCCTTTGAACAAGCCTACAAATTTGCCCCTTGTCACGGTAGCTGCTTTAAACATGAGCAATGCATCACACTTTATGAGCCCGCCACTTGATTTGTGTGTACAACCTCACTCTGCAAAGTAATTAGTGAAGCCAGCCAGCGGGAAGACGCAGCCGAGTAAAAAGTAACATATTTCCCCTTGAAATATAGCGAAGCAAAAGAATAAAGAATCCCAAAATGGTGGAATTAAGTGCCTCCACTAAATTGTACCTCACACATCTGGCCTCACACACACACACACACACACACACACACACACAAAAGAATTCCGAGCTCACCAATGCACACAGACAAAACGCCCGCAATTATTTATGGTGACTGGGTGAGTATGGCCGGAAGATGAAAGTTTTGAATATGTGCTCGTAAAAGAAGTTGAGGCGGGGTGTGAGACGGTTGAGGGGGCCAGGGAAGGCCGAGATGGGAGGACAAGGGGACAGCCAAGTTGACAGCGGGCTGTAGCGATGATTTACCTGCGGGGGTGTAGCGCCGTCACAGGCCAATTTTCAGCATCATTAAAGCCCTCGCTCTCCCTCTCCGACACTCCCTCCGTCTAACCTTTTGCAACCGCGCTGTGCGTTTCTCTCACTTTTGCACACTCTGCTCTGTGTCCCCCACCAGCCCCGCCCGTTCCCACCAGTGAGCTGTTCGACACGTCGCCATGGTAACCAGCAGAGTGGACATCCCAGAGGAGAAGCAGCTCCTTTGTGTTCTTCCATTATGTCTCCACGGACTCAATGTTGATATGCAATCTTCCTCGTTTCTTCGTTCTCCTTTGTTGTGTTTGTGTGTGTGTATGTGTGTGTGTGTGTGTGTGTGTGTGTGCGGGGGTGGGATGGGGGACCTTGGCTTGGGGGCGGTCAACCCCCCCGTTGATGACAGGCATAAGACGTTGGCCCAGGTGGACGGCGCGGGCGTTTAGGCTCCGCTTCGCAGGTTGTAGCTGAATGCCTCCAGTTGAATCATTGCTACGTCGAGAGCTTTACGGCGGATGTTATGTCGTTTTTATGACATTTGTGATTAGGAGTCATGACAGGCACTGTAATTATGATGTTTTGTGCAGGGCCCCGCTGAAAATCATGGCAAAGCTCCCTCGCAAGCATTAAATTCTCCCCATCGCAGCTTTGAATGCGATTCATGACAGCATAAAGCATTGATACAGCATCGCACGCCAACTATTTTGCAGCAAGGCAGTGCCGTGACGTTCTATTGCTCCTCCATTTACTCCTGGACTAAGATTTTAAAATAAACTTTCTTCGAGACGTTGGCAGGTGATGAGCACGCAGTAAAAATTTAGAGTCGCCGAGGTGCTCAAAGATGTTTTTGCAATCAAACGCTTGTTGAGCAGATTGAAGTTGACAGAAACTTTATATTAATAATATTCCAACTTTGACGCTTTTGCTTCCCACCAGCTGAGCTGGCATTCTCTCGCCGCTCACAGAGAGGCTTTAATGCCTTCTCCTCTTCATTACCATTCACGCAGCTCTCAATTTGGGCATCAATAATTCAAGAGCAGTCTTATGAAAGAAAATCTTTATAGGTACCGATATCATCACGTGCTGTCAGCATGTTCCCCGGGGCCTGTGGCAAGATACTGCCGCCTATCTTTCTGGCACGACTGCATGCGTTTTGTAGAGTTTGTAATAAAGTGTGCTTGTGCTGTAGTCAAGATGAATTTGGCTGATTTCAAAAAAGTTGCCACGCTTGGTGAAGAAACCTTGATGCCGATGAGTTTTCTGCTCTGGCTTTGCACCATTTTTTGACCAGACTACAATTTTTAGAGTGATTTTACGCAGCTAATGCCTGCATGAGTTAGGGATGGTCAGATGAAATCATTATTCAACTCAGTGATTGTTGAGAATTTGGTTTTGTGTGCGTTGATGAATCACATCTTGAAGCAGTCCACAAGATTTCGTGACCAAAACAGTTAGAACGGGCATCAGAGCGAGCTATTGGTTTGAAAATGATCTTTAGTTGCCTTCATGGCTTTTAACTTCATCCATTGTCTGATCTACTTGTCCTCGCGGGGGAACAGCATGGCATGCATTCAGTCTCAAAGAGTTGGTCCGAAAATGAGAAGCGGGATGTCAGTTCTGGGAAACTGAGCTACATCCCACACGCCGGTGCTGTTGCCGTTGAAACGGGAGTTCAGAACATTCAGAAAGAGATTGCAACTGATCACTTAATTGAGGATTACTTTTCCCCTCAAGGAAATGTCGCCAAATGCCCGTCCCGAGTATGTATGTGTGCCTGAAGTGCGTTTTCGACCTTATCTTAATCCTTACATATGGTGTGCTGTGTTCACGTTATGTCTGTATTTTTTCCTTTGACTTTTATCAAGTTTTTCGATCAAGATATTTTGCAGCATTTGTTTTATTGTAAGGAGAGAATGTCCCGTTTATTGAACTGCAGCTAGAAGGGAAATGGATTAATAATGTGCAAAAGAAATGGATTTTAATGTTTAATCATCTTCGCTGGGATTATGGAAAAAGTCATAAGTGAGCAGCAGGTTTAGTAGGCCAATCACTCACTGTCACTGTGTTATTCTGCTGTTCATCCTTTACATCTGAAATGGTTTTAGAAGCACACTGCATGTCTCATTACGGGTGTTCACACGGCACATATTTGCATCGGTGCTGCACCGATGTATTTTGTTGCGATAGATCTTACACCGGTGTATATTTTGTGGAACGTTCACACGTATAAAGCTGCTTACTAAAGAGAAGCGTGTTAACCCCGGTGCAGCCCCAGGTGCATTCACATGGCAGTTTCTGCGGCCGTGCAATACGAAAATAAAACATGGTTAAAGTGTACTTCCTTATCCCCACCTTGTTTGTGACATACAGTATCGAAAAAACCATGGTTTATACTTCTCCAGACAAATCAACGCTGCGGTCTATCAGACACCGTAAAAGGATGAGAGAGAGAAAGGAAAGAAGTGCAAACTACCCAGGATGCAAGTTATGCAATACCCGTATGTAATCAACTCTTCTCACGCATAGCGAATCTACCCCTGTACCACTAACACATACCCTTTTATATCGATGTTGCCTCGCAAACAAGCATTTACTCCGGAGTAAATTTTTAAACCACCTCCTGAGCAGGGTTAAATTTGCTCCGGTTTAAGTTGTTTTCAGGGGCTACACCGGTATAACTTTGTACGTGTGAACGCGCTACGGGGGCCAGTCCCGGTGATACACCAGAGCAAAAGTTGCCGTGTGAACACCGCTTCTCTGTGTTTGGAATGCAACTTTTCAGGTCCTTGCTTTCTGGTGGTCACCAGAGGAGGTGGTCACATGGCAATAACGCGCCAATACTTTGGAAATTGTGTTCATCCCGCCATGTCTTTTCTTTCCATCAGCCATGTTAACAGGTTTTGGGCTGGGATTCTTGTATAATAAAATGGTTTATGGATCTGTTATTGGGCGTAATGTGTCTTATTCTGGCCAAAGATCATGGCAATATTTGGATCCTGGTGTGACATTTCACCGGCAATTAACTGTGCCATTTCTTCTCTCACCGCTGCCACATTCCCTCTGGCTTGTTGTCTGCTTCAAACACACTTCTCATTCAAGGTGTGTGTACTGGGGGAAATCCCCCACCCGGCCCCTTCCCCATGGCTCCACCACCTTCCCCCCTCAGGGCCGACCTCATCCTCATCCTCATCTTCCTCCTCACGCCTCACTGCTCCACTTGACGGTCGCCTCCCTTTTTTTTTTTTTTGAATTTCTTCTCAAGCACACTCCCTTCGTCTTGAGTGTGGGGTGACGATAGCTAATTATAAAATCAATGATGCCGGGCTGCCTAGTTTACAGCCCCCTCTAAAACCTTAACTGGGAAATCACTGTGGGATTGATGACTCCCTCACTCTTTATCTCTTTTAATTAGAAATGTAAAAGATATGAAAGAGCCAGAGGCCAGAACACATCTCCGAGTTTTTTATGATCCCGCCTCCTCCTGCCCAAATCACCTCTTCCCTCTACCTGGGCCTTGTTTATTTCCTCTCCCTTCATTTTCCTCCCTGCTGGCACACCCTCCATCCTCACTCTCCTCACCAGCCACTTCTCCATCACTTGTTCCATTACCCTCCCTTTTAGATGGCCCGTGCTCTCACACACACACACACGCACACACGCACACACGCACACACACACACACACACACACACACACACACCGGGGAAGGCATTAAATTTATGGTCTTTGCACTTGAGAACGTTCCTCACCTTCCCCTCACCTCTCCTCTCTTTTCCCTTGACTGAGCCGCAACCCTCAGCGCGTTGGCCGCATGTGTAACAAATGAGGAGCACGTCCTTTCTGTCTGCTCTGACCCAAGCAGGAGCTGTAAAATGATGTCGCATCACACGTAACGACCTCTGCTGCCACCTGAGTGCAGCCGACATATTGTATGACTCACACGTCCCGGTCTTGTATATGGCGTCGGGATGCTCCACCTCCTTCTATCGCATCAAGCTGTGCTCACACCTCCGCTCCAGGACTTAATCAAGGTCAAAGGTCATAATATTCCTCTCACAACATTTGGCTGCAGTCAGCTTTATCAGCTGACTGCTTAACTAATGTTGCTTGTGTTTGCTTTTTTTCTACCACAGGCATCAAAATTTGAAGGCCCAAAAAAACCAAAACGAGTTGAAGTCTCATGAGATTTAACTCCAAAAGTTTTGGGGGCGGAAAACCATTGTAATAACTCCATCCATCCATCCATTTTCTAATCATCTTATCCTCACGAGGGTCGCGGGCTGCCAGATGTCTTCGGGCAGTAAGCGGGGTGCACCCTCAACTGGTTGCCACCCAATCGCAGGGCATACATTTGTGATAACTATGATGAAACCTGAAGAAAGCAGTCTGAACAGAAACCTAAGCAATACAATGTGTGCGATAGCAATTGCGGAAGAATCCATTGCATCTCCAAAACCACAGCTTTTTGGGCAAACAAAAAGGGCATGTTCGTTGCTCCATAACACTGTAGAAGACATATTTTGTTGACATAAGTTTGACAGCTGTTTTCAACTTATTTTTGGGTGCACAATCCAAAACTGTTATCATTTTTTTTCTTCATCACGTCAAGTTTTGGAGATACAGGACCCCATTTTCTAAAAACATATTCAATAAATGTGACTGTGCGTAAATAAAACACGAAGATGGAATGGTTACAACAAGCTTTGAAAACTAATCACACAGCATAAGACGAAATAGAACTTTCAACAGTATGCCCGTGGTTACAAGATGAAGAAAAAAAAATCCTACTTTGCGAGCATATATTGATGGTCCTGATTGGGAGTCTCAATTGTGACTGCACAAAACAAGTTGCCACACAGCTGTAGATGAGTCCAGTCGTATTAAGATGGCAAGTATTACTGCCGCTAATCAGGGGAATTTTGCTGATCTGAACCAGTTTTGAAGACGGCTGGGATATGCTTGAGCATCTCCGCAACCCTCGTAAGTATAAGCAGTTTGATTCATGGATGGATGGTAAGCTGTGGTGAAAAAAAAAAATGACGTGCTTGAAAAAAAAACAAAAAACTACAATTTTGGAATCAGCATGCCAATTAGAGTTTTGATCAGCAGAAAATTCTAACAAAACAGATTTTCTTTTTCAAAGTGTTACCCAGTGTCACACTTCAGTAATTTGTCAAAATAATGAACCCATGAGGGGAATGACCAATAGAATCCATTGTAAAGAAATATTAAATTGACCAGACAGAGGATGTTTCCCTCCAAACAGTGATGGTAAACAAATCGATTTCACCAAGAATATGCCACACTACAAATAATTAGAATAGTCTATCCATTTCATCCATCCATTTTCAACATGGTTTATCCTAATCAGGGTCGCGGACAGTGCTGGAGCATATCCCAGCTGACTTCAAGCAAAAGGCGCTCAACACCCTGAACTGGTCACCAGTCAGTGGCAGGGCACATACAGAGACGAACAACCATTCGCTACCACGTCCACGCCGCCACTGAGTGGAAAACGAACCCTCGTTGCCTGCTCACAAGTCAGGTGAGTGGACCTCTGCACCGGGGTGCCCAAATTGCAATAATATTATTATTTTTTTAAACATTATTTTCAGTAAATCAGTACTTTACCCTAAATTTTACGAGCGTTGAAGTGTTTGTTGACCTTATGAACATGAGTTACAGTAATCACATATTTACGGCATTGTGATGCTGTCATTGGCAAAAGGTGGCTGCAAGGCAACTCCCACTTTCTCCCAACCCCCTTAAGTCACAGTGGTTGCTGATGGCCTCGCATTACTGTTGTCACTCAAGGCCTATGAAGCTGAAGATATTTGATATTAGCTCTTCAGAAGACGGCATTGCAGTGCACAAGTGTGAACGGTTGTCTGTCTGGATGTACCCTGCGACTGGCTGTCGACCAGTCCAAGGTGTAATCCACCTGAGCCCCCCAAACCTAATAGGAACAAGGAGCCCAGAAAATGAATGGGACAACACGACAGCCATTTACATTGTGTGACATGATGGACATTGAAATGCAGCCTCCTCCTTATCGGGTAGCTTGGTGCACAAAGCATTATGTCCAAATCGTCTTTGAGCTCAGGGATGACTGACATCACCGCATTCCAATGCTCATATTTTCCCTTCACAATCAAATTAACATCCCCCCCCCTACATCTCCTTCATATAATAAAGTATAGCTGAATGTATGTGTGTGTGTGTGTGTGTGTGTGTGTGTGTGTGTGTGTGTGTGTGTGTGTGTGTGTGTGTGTGTGCGTGTGAGTGTGTATATACACACTTCCTTTAAACCCCCCAGCCTCCTCAACCCTGGTTACCATGGCAACTCCTTTCCAGAGGCTTGGTATATGAGG